TAAGTTGGGAATGTGTATTCTGATTTAAATTATAAATAACTGGCCTTTTTCTCTGTTTATATGTGTTCTTAAATTTAATTGTTAGACTCTTTCCTTTGTTCATATGCATAATGTATTCTGAATCTATATGTTACATTTCAATGAATAATAGGTGGCAGACATTAATTTGATTTAGTTAATAATATAATTCCAATGACCTACACTACTGTGGAATGAACTCACACTAGAAGAGGATTGTTATCTTAATGTTTTATGCCATCTATTTCTGGTGCTGTAGTGTAGCTCATCTCACCTAATGAAATATGTTCGAAGGGGTTGCATTGATCAAATCATTTATATATATCATGAAAAAAAAAGAAAAAAGAAAAAGAAAGAAACATGCCTACAACTTCCAAAATTACAAGAAAAGAACAAAGTCACAACATTACTGAATTTTATTGAGAAAGAATACGGAAGCAGGAAAGCAGACAGAAATCAACAGCATTAATAGAAGGCTGTATCGGGAAAGCTAGACATACCTTACTACGGGCCAAGCTACCCCACACAGTAGACAACCCAGGATAAAGAGGTGGTTGACGACCCCCAAAGTCATCAAAAGCATAATCTACGTAGTTAACAAGAAAGCGATTACGTTCAGCATCATCAACTGACTCCTGCTGCACCCTACAAAAGGATATAAAAATCCACAGTTACTTTTTTTATCAAACAAAAAATCAGAGCATACAATTGACAGAAATTCAGAAATAATAATAATAACATGAAAAAAAATGGAATCCCAAAAAATTGGTTACCTGGTAAACTATAAAACAGTGGAAGCATGCTAATAAAAAGTTTTTCAACTACATAGGATATTCCAGAAGATTAGATTAGAAGTTTGGTTGCGAGAAGTAAACTATGAATTCATATCATGGACATTTATGAATGTGGAGTAGACTAATGATAGGCTGCACATTCATCCAAAAAAATAATAATAATAATAATCTGCACAGTGATGGATGTGGAGTAGACTAGCAAATAGCTAGACAGTGCATTTTGACTATCTAGGCACCTCAGATACATTCAATCTGCGGCAATAGGGGACAAATGCACCAAAAAAGTGATTTGGTAGCTCATGGATAAACTCTTATCTCTTGCAAGCCACAGATTTCAATATGGAAAACTGCACACCATCCATGAATTTAAACTTCTCTTTGACAACAAAATGATAAAAGAACTTGATTTGGAACAAGCTATTGTGCCTTTAGTCACCAAATGAGACAATCTTTTGATAGGAGCTTCCTCTTCATAGTTTTCAACCACTTGTTGGTTCCATTTTTTTTTTTATTAATCTGTTCTTTCTTCTCTTTCTTGTTCATAGGAGTATTGGACTTGTTCGAAGAGTGTGTCTATCATATTCAAGAAAAAATATCCCGTATGCGCTCATTAATGTAATGAGGAAAAAAATGAAATGATGCAGATAACAAAAGCATGAGAAAAAGTCATGTCTAAATTACTAGAAAATATACTGTTATAGCATTTAGTTGGCACCAAAGAAGGCTAGGACCTGATACAGACTAGAAAAATGCTATAATATCGCGTTTCTCAGTTTCTTTATGACAAAAAGCTGCTGGTATTTTTTTTTTATTTTATTAAATTTTAGGGGATAGGGAATAAAAGTCATTATCTGGTACAGATAATTATTAGTCTTATTACCAAATCTTAATTGCAACTGCTTTAGAGAAAAAGGCTAAAGGATAAATAAAATTGTTCCCAATTCAACCCTTCTCTATACCCTACTCAAGTATGACCTGTACCAAATTATTAAATTTCTTGAGGTATAAACTATAAACAATCATATATGATTTTTATGATTCAATAACTTCATACACTAAGCTTTGGTAATGAGAGTTCTTGATGTTAAATACCACCGTTGTTGTTTTTAATAAGATTTTGTCAAACTTATCCGAATAAACTAGGTAGCATTTCACTGTAAGGTGAATGAAGACTCACATTGATATCATCCAAGTACCCACAACATAAACCAAGAAAGTAACCTGACAATTGAAATTATAACATTAGCTTAACAAACCACTAGAATACCGAATAGGTGATTATATTTCTGCCCCCTGTTTATTTCCAATACCATGAACTACCATACCAATCACTCCAGTAGCAGAACAAATAATGTAAGTTAATAAATCATCAAGGAAAGAAACAAAACAAAAGATGACAAACATAAAGGCAGTTGCATACTGTGCATGGGTGGATAACGGAAGTGCTGCATGTCCAATTACTACCTGCCAAGTAAAAGAACAGAACTACTTAGGATTGCAATAAAAGATAGAATAAGTGTGCGAAACAGGCCAAATCACTAACCAACGAGACGAGGTTCAGATGATTTTGTATTATTTCAAATGGAAGGAAAAGAAAAAAGGATCTCATTGAACTCACTGGTTTTGGAGCTTCTAATTTCATTTGAAGATCAACATGGAAGAAAGTCAATATAAGGTGATGCAAAGATGTCCAAACAGCAGGGAGAGAAACTTTAATTTCATCCTGGTAGCAGGCCACCCGAGCACCAACAGCAACTTGCATGTGAGCCCACTTCTGAAGTGATAAACCAGGTTCCCTTGGATACATTGCCTAGTCATATCAGTAACACAGAAAGAACAATAAGACGAGTTTAAAAATCATAGTGCAAAGTATCACTCAACAATTT